TTTGGCTCGTCTTGGAGCGCTTTCCGGTACTTTTCCAGCGTTCTCGGACGCTTGGAGGCCCGAGTGAGCGAGCATCCGAACATCAAACGAAAAACAAGTATCATGGCGAAGGACCATACCATACGCAATTGTAAATAACGCGTTGTGGGTGCCGCTTTCGGTGGAGTTCCCTGTGGGGCCACGAAGCGCGTGAGGGACGTGACGTAATGGGTTGTGGACGACGCATGGCGGTGCCACTTGGGCCTTCGGTGGGGCTTTCGGTGGAGCTCCTTATGGGGCCACGGGAGAGAGGGACGCATGCGGGCGATGCCACTGGGGCCTTCGGTGGAGCTCCCTATGGGCCCACGGAGCGCTGTACTGGGTGGTGGCTGATGCATCCACTGGGGCCTTCGGTGGAGGTCCTTATGGGGCCACGAAACGCTGTAGTGGGTGGTGGCCGAAGCATACGGGCGGTGCCACTGGGACCTTTGGTGGAGGACCTTTGGTGGAGCTTCCTGTGGGGCCACGAAGCGCTGTACTGGGTGGCGGCTGACGCATGCGGGCGGTGCCACTGGGGCCTTCGGAGGTTATGGGGCCACGAAGCGCTGTGCTGGGTGGTGGTTGACGCATGCGGGCGGTCCCACTGGGACCTTCGGTTGAGCTCCCAATGGGGCCACGAAACGCTGTACTGGGTAAGTGAAACGCAGGGAGGAAGGAGGAGGGGGAGGAGGAAGGAGGCGGGAGGAGCGCACGTACCCTCATCGGAAGGAGGCGGGAGGAGGAGGAGGAGGAGGAGGAGGAGGAGAACGCAGGGCGCCGTCTCTTCAAAACGAAGACCCAACACAACAGGATTGTTGGGAATGAAACATCAATGTTTTTCCAAGTTTCGAGCGCCTCTTCCAGGTGACATTCGGGCCGTGCTTGGGCGTCCAGCGGGGGTCTGGGCCGCTTGGTGCCATCTTCGATCGTTTTGGAAGTTTCTTGGGCCTTGCGTCGGTTGTTTTGCCAGCATTTTGGGTCAGTGGTGTCAGTGGCAAAGTGCCTGCCAGAAGAAGGCCGGGGCAGGCACCCTGCCTGGAGTCTGGTCGGGTGGTGGTGCCCTGTGTTCCGAGGCGCTGCCGTCCACTGCAATACAAGCAGCGGCCCCGCTGCGCGCCGCATCGCAGGCTGGCATGCGTGGCTTCTGGGGCGGGCGCCTTCCCATGCCAGCGCGCCAGGTCGAGCAGCAGGGAACGTATGTAAAGGTCCTTGGGCGTCGCTCGGATGAGCGAGCCACGTGGACCTGGTCGGACAGATCGTGTACCTGCTGTGCTGCGCGGCTGCCGTCACCAGACTTCCAGCCGCGCAGGCGACGTGGCACGCCGCCTCCAGCCGAGGGCGAAGAACGCCTTCACCTCCACTGCCCAGCAACGCGGGCCATCAAACAACGTGACACCTCTGGAGACCCCAGTGCGGCTGCGCCCCGGCTGGCATGAGGCGACCCCCTCGACCCCCGACGTCATGATTTTTCAGCGCGTCGACCCCCAAAGGTCTCTACCCATTCACCAGGACAGGCTTCTTATCCCGAGTCGTCTTTAACTGTCCCGAGGCCTAGTCAGGCCGCCCAGAGGCCGTAAAGAGTGAAAAACGCAGTGATTGCAAGAGGATGGTTATGATGCGCCAGTTTTGCAAGGATGCTTCGGGAAAAAAGCGAAAGAACATATCATTGGCAGGGCTGTTGGGCGGGCGGCAGATTACGCACACTTGTGCAACGCATTTGCATCGATTGCGACGTACATCAAAAAGACTTCACCAATTTCTCACATCCTGAATTCTTCATGGCCCGAGCGGGTCGGACCCCTCTGTGGTGCCCACGGGCGGGCGCACGCGGCGCAGGCGGCGCTGCCGCGCCCCGAGGCAGCGCGGATGGGGCAACCCGCGGGCGCGCGCCGGGCACCCGCCTCCGCGCGGCTGAGCGCGGCCATGCAGGGCGCCAGCCCTGGCGCCGGGGCAAGGCGGGGCGCGCTGGCCCGCGGTCGGAATCGCGGGCGTCGTGGGACCGTTTCATGATCACTTTGTTTGTTCCTTTTCCGTGGCTGCCCGTTCGGGCGTCTGGCTCTTGCGCCGCGCGCGCGCGCCAGAGAGGGGGCGGGAGCGGGCCCCTCTCAGTCGCGGTCCCGGCCCCGCTGGGCCCTTCCCTTGCCCCTGCCCCTTCCACTGGCGTGGTGGAGCTCCTTGGTCAGCGGCGCGGGCGAGCGCACATCGCGTTCTGGCGGTCAGCGGGCCGCGGCAGGACCACGGGCACACATAGCCCAGGGAAAGAAGAGGGCGGCGGCGGAGGAGGAACGCAGGAGGCAAGGAAGAGGAGGAGAGGAGAAGCAGCCGCAGGCAGACAAGGCAGGGAGCAAAAGGAGAGGGAGCAGGAAGGGGAGGAAGACGAGGCGGAAGCAATGGGGCGCACCCGCAGGCAGACAGGCCTGGCCAGGGGCTGGGGCCAGGGGCGTCGTGAAACCCACGGCGAGCGCTTTTGGGGACACGGCGCCCGAGGGACGTTGTGGGCCCCCTGGGGCAACTGTTTGCCAGGTCGAGGGATCCGCGGGCCCCGGCTGGAGACGTCGGAGGCATTGGGGGGGTGGCAGGAGAAGGGGGAAGGGCGGCGGGGTCATCTTGAGGACCTCCTGTAGCCCCTCGGGGCCATCTTGGCACCATCGAGAAAACCAGCATGGCATTCGACAGGCCCTTCAGGTTGTTCTACGCGCCGCAACGCTGCTCCAGGGCACGCCGTGCTGCCTGGCGAATGGGGAAGGGTGCAGTGCCTCTGGGCGCCCATGGTTGCTGTAGGATGGGCCAGTGAGTCTCGAAGACGCGAGCGCACTTGTTTTCAGGATACCCAGATACTTGCACATCTGTTTGGCCGCCACGGATGGTCTCTCCCGCATCCAATTTGGAATTCGTTGGGGCCAAAAAGCTTGATCCACACCCGAGAGGAACTCGGTTCCCAAAAGGGATTGCCATGATCTTGTGCTCCCCCTCCTTCCACCCCTCCCCCCTTTCTCCTCCTCTCCGAACGAGCCGAACATCAATTCCCCCCTACTCCTTCTCCTCCTCCTCCTCCTTCTCCTCCTCCTCCTCCTCCTATTCCTCCTCTGCCTCGTCCTCCTCCTCTGCCTCGTCCTCCTCCTTCTCCTTCTCCTCCTCCTCCCCTCCCTCCTCCTCCTCCTCCTCCCTTCTCCTCCTCTCCTCCTCCTCCTCCTCCTCCTCCTCCTCCTCCTCCTCCAATCCTCCTCCCCCAATCCTCCTCCTCCCCCTCCTCCCCCCCTCCTCCTTCTCCTCCTCCTCCTCCTGCTCCTCCTGCTCTTTTTCCTCCTCCTCCTCCTTCTCCTCCTCCTCCTGCTCCTCCTCCTCCTCCTCTTCATCTGCTCCTCCTGCTCCTCCTCCTCCTTCTCCTCCTCCTCCTCCTCCTCATTCTCCTCCTCCTCTTTCTCCTCCTCCTCCTCCACCCTTTTTTCTCCCTCTCTCCTTCCTCCTCCTGCTCCTCCTCCTCCTGCTGCTGCTCCTCCTCCTCCTCCTCCTCCTCCTCCTCCTCCTCCTCTCCTCCTCCTCCCCTCCCGTCCCCTCCCCCTCCTCCTCCCCTCCTCCTCATCCTTTTCCATCTGTTCCTCCTCCTCCACCTCTGTTCCTCTCCTCCTCCCCCCCCCTCCTCCTCCTCCTCCTCCTCCTCCTCCTCCTCCTCCTCCTGCTCCTCCTCCTCCTCCTCCTCCTACTCCTCCTCCTCCTCTCCCCTCCCTTCTCCTCCCATCCTCCTCCTCCTCGCCTCCTCCTCCTGTTCCTCCTCTTCCTCCTCCTCCCCTTTCTCCGCCTCCTCCTCCCCTTCCTTCCCCTCCTCCTCCCCTCCTCCTCCCCCTCCTCCTCCTCCCTCTCCTCCTCCTCCTCCCTCCCTCGTCCTCATCTTCCTCCTCCTCCCAGTTCTCCTCCTCCTCTTCCTCCTCCTCTTCCTCCTCCTCCTCCTCCTCCTCTCTTGCCTTCCACTCCTGCCCCTTACCCCATACTCCTCCCAAGCTCTTCGTCCTCCTTGTCCTCGTCCTGTTCCATCTCTCTTCGTTATGACAACTTCTCGCTGGCGCACCCGCACACGTGCCTGTAGGGCTGGCCGGGGGGTTCGGCTGATACCGCCTCGCTTTTTAGGATTCTGAATGCTGAAATTTGCGACAGCTTCACGGATACAGGGCAGGCAACTTTTCAAACTGTGGCTCTCGCCTGAGCGCGCCGCACATATTCGTCTTAAACGTGTGGAACAAGGGTTCAAGGATGGAAGGCTGGCCGATTTCAAAATGTGGCTCTCGCTTTAGCGCCGCGTGTATTTTTTAGTCAGTTTGCAGGCATGCCAATGATGGGTGCCGGCCGTGTTCACAATGAGGCTCTCGACTTAGCGTCGCGCGCATTTGTTGTTCTAAAGATTGCCACACGCTCAGAGATGGAGGGTGGGTCGTTTTCAAAATGTGGCTCTGGCATTCGCGCCGCGAGAATTCGTCTGACAGGACCTTAACAACAATCTCATGAATGGATAGCGGTCTCTTCTCAAATGTGGCTATCGCGATAGCGCCGTGCGCACTCGTCTTACACATTTGCAATCGTTTTCGCTATTGTTATGGCAGATGACCCCAGACTGGTTTTCTGGTACGGATTATTCTTGTCAGGACCAACAATCACGTTGATTCGCGGTGTCGAAGTCCCAAGAACGGTATCATGGCACGGTTCCGGATTGTCAGGACGCACCAATCATGATTCGCGCGCGGTGTTGAAGTCCAAAGGGCGGCATTCTGGCACGATTGACAATTGTCGGACGGTTTTCTTTCGATGCGTCACTTCCCCGTAATGAAAACACATTCTTGCAGGGACCCATGAACAAGGGAACTTGGAGGGAGGGTTTACTGCAACGTCGCGGATGCGCCGTTGGTTTACTCTGGTCCTCCTCCTCCTCCTCCTCTTCCTCCTCCTCCTCCTCCCCCGCTCTCAGGCAGGCGGGGGCCAAAAGAGGTGGCCTGGTTGTGCTGGCCGTAGTGCGCGCTCTGGTATGGCCCTAGTTCGCCGTCCTCGCCTCCTGACGACCGAGGCACGCGCCCGATGAGACAAGGGGTGGGCGGGACGCGAACGCGGCGAGGGGTGGCAGGGAGAAGGGGAAGGAGGAGGAGGAGGAGGAGGAGGAGGAGGGGGCGGAGAAGGAGGAGGAGGAGGATGGGGAGGAACAGGAGGAGGACGAGGAGGAGGCCTGACGCAACGGCCACCCAGCCAATCTTGGTCTAACGTTGAAAGGAGAACATGGAGAGGAGGAGACAAAGGGAGATGATGAGGAGGAACAGGAAGAGCATGAGGAACATGAGAAGGCGGAGGGGTGGGGGACTTGGAGGAACAGGAGAAGGAGGAGGAGGAGGATGACAAGCTAGGTGCGCGCGCGTCATATCTGACATCCTACCCCTCCCTCCCATCCCTTACCATGGCGTAGATCCCCTCTCTACTCGCACAGTCGGATGTCCAGCATGGCAATGATCCCGAAAGGGTACGCGATGCATTGTAGAGCACGGCGTGGCACGGCGAGCACCGCAAAGTGTAGTATGTCACAGCATGGCGTGGCGTGGCATAGTGAAGAATCCCACCAGCCCTTTGGGCGTGAGTGGTTTAGCGAGTTCTCTCTGTTTTCAACCCCCCTTCTTCCCCTTCGGGGAGGGGTTTACCCCTCCCCCTACCCCCTCCCCCTGGACCTGGAGAGGGGGTTTCGCGGGTGGTCAGAGGGTCCTTTTTCTATCCCTGGGAGGGCTAAAACTCGACACCCCTCACGAGGATCGTGGCCCCGACGGGGGTACTGACAAAAATGCTCGTCCCATCTGTGATCGATCGCCCCAAAGATGGCCCCAACAGGCCCCCAAGACGCTCCAAGAGGCGCCCAAGAGGGCCCCCGGACGCTCCCAAGAGGCTCAAAAGAGAGCCCAAGAGGCCCCTCTACGATCTCCAAGAGGCCTCCAAACTGCCTTGGATACGACTACTTGTACTTGTACTACTACTACTACTACTACTACTACTACTACTACTACTACTACTACTACTACTACTACTACTACTACTACTACTACTACTACGACTACTACTACTACTACTACTACTACTACTACTACTACTACTACTACTACTACTACTACTACTACTACTACTACTACTACTACTACTACTACTACTACTACTACTACTACTACTACTACTACTACTACTACGACTACTACTACTACTACTACTACTACTACTACTACTACTACTACTACTACTACTACTACTACTACTACTACTACTACTACTACTACTACTACTACTACTACTACCACTACTACTACTACTACTACTACTACTACTACTACTACTACTACTACTACTACTACTACTACTACTACTACTACTACTACTACTACTACTACTACTACGAGGGGACCGAACGACTCGCACCAGGACGAGGTGCCCGAACGCCTCACACCACGAGGAGCCCGAACGACTCACACCAGGACGAGGGGCCCGAACGACTCACACCACGAAGAGCCCGAACGACTCACACCAGGAGGAGGGGCCCGAACGACTCACACCAGGACGAGGCGCCCGAACGACTCACACCACGAGGAGCCCGAACGACTCACACCAGGACGAGGGCCCCGAACGACTCACACCACGAGGAGCCCGAACGACTCACACCAGGAGGAGGGGCCCGAACGACTCACACCAGGACGAGGGGCCCGAACAACTCACACCACGAGAAGCCCGAACGACTCACACCAGGACGAAGAGCCCGAACGACTCAAACCACGAAGAGCCCGAACGACTCACACCAGGAAGAAGGGCCCGAACGACTCACACCAGGACGAGAGGCCCGAACGACTCAAACCACGAGGAGCCCGAACGGCTCACACCAGGACGAGGGGCCCGAACGACTCACACCACGAGGAGCCCGAACGACTCACACCAGGAAGAGGGGCCCGAAGGACTCACACAAGGACGATGGGGCCGAACGACTCACCCCACGAGGGGCCCCAACGACTCCCACCAGTCGTCGTCGTCGTCGTCGTCGTCGTCGTCGTCGTCGTCGCCGCCGCCTTCGTCGTCGTCGTCGTCGACGTCGTCGTCGTCGTCGTCGTCGCGGTTGTGGTCGTCGTCGTCGTCGCGGTCGATATCGTCGTCGTCGTCGGGTGCGTCGTCGTTGTTAGGATCATCGCTGTGGTCGTCGTCTCCGCTAAATCCCTCTTGCCTCCCACCGCTTTCTCTCCCTCCTCCTCCGCCTCGTCCTTCTCCCGCTCCCACCACAAGGAGGATGTACAAGGAGGCGGGAGGAAGGAGGAACAGGGGAGATATGCGGGGGCAGGCGGAAACACGCCTGAAAAACACGACTGTCGGCATGCTTCGCAAGAGTTGCTGTTTTGAGATGGGCTGGTGGGGATACGCGAAGCGTGAAGAATTGCATCACAAAGCTTTGCAACGCAAAGCATGGCATCGCACAGTGGCCCCGAACATAACATTGCATAGCATGGCGTTGAAGATCAATGCGTAGCATGGCATAGCACGGC